GTGCCCACCCACATTCTTGCAATTGGTTGGAATACCCACTAGTGTAATCTGGTGGGGGGGGGGTACTTGTCTATGTTACTTTGAAGTATCCACAAAATAATCTTTAACTCTTGACATTTAAATTCTATATTACCCCATTAAGGGCAGAAGCCTGCAAACATGCACACTTACAATCCTGTGAGCACCTGAATGTGCCCACAATTTGGTATCACTGTACTTGAATATAGTGTTAACACTTAACTAGAGATGGCAAAAATCTGCAACTCTCCCAAAACTGTATCTTATATCCAGTAATCCAATTGGATTAGTTTTCTTTTACAGATATCTGGTTCTGAGACATTGAAACTAATATCGTTTTAAATGAGATTTCTGTCACTATTCTCTCCTCATGGATCCCTCCCACACTCTAGCATTTCCCTATCTGGTCCCTTTATTTGTTAGTTTAATTTTTCACTCTGAAATGATTAAATCTGAATTTTGGAAAAACTGAGATTACCAATAATATGTGGATTAATCTGCTGGTTGTGGAATACTTCTTTTTTTTTCTTTTTTTTTTTTAATATATGTACACTAAGTTTTAATTTATAATGTGTATTTTGGAGTTGACACAATCTCTGAGATTTTTTGATTATTGGAAAACTCATTAAAAAAAATATTTTGGCCTATTAAGGACTTAGACATTTAAGCTTGGGAACTAAATTTCAAGAAAGCTTGGTTGACAAATTATTGCATTTTGCTAGCAGGTCCCCTTTTTTTTCTTTTTTTTTCCGCATGGTTGAGAATGTTCATATGCACCAAAAACTTTTTTTTTTCTCTTCTTCTTTAGATTAAACTTCATTTGTTTCATACAAATATATATTGTGCACCAGAAAGTTTCCTCCATGATGCCTATGCCTATTTTGGTGTCATAGAAAGATTCAAGTCTCCATTACATCAGACTTTCTCACTCGTGTTACCATCCAAAAAGCAATCATTTCTCAACTAGCATTCTGGCATGGCTTCCACATGATTGCAAGAATTTTAATATTTGTGCCTACCCAAATGAGATCCTTCTATTTAATCCCATGTACAAATCATGATTTCTCTTAAAATCTCTCTAATGAAATTCTTCCACAAATGCTTTTCATTGGAGTGGGTTCCAATTAACAAATGGCATCACTCCCCCATAATAGCTGTTATCTACTGAATGTGATAATTATGATGGGACCTAATGTTTTTGATGACTCTGCCATTTTGAAATGCTGTCTGTGATTTCAATTACTTTGATTTGGACTTATTCTGAAACCAGTGTTTTTGTTAACTATCACAATAATTGTTATATAAATCCTAGACAATATTGATGTTCCTCCCCCTTGACCACAGTCCATCAGACGCATAGGCAAAAGGTCAAGACTACAATGTTGTTGCTAGCCTGCATATTGCTTAACTGAGGCTTAAGGGTATTTTAAGCATTTCAATTTATTTCACTTATTTCTTAAACCACCTGTCTGGTTGAGATCTGTTAGTTAAGGCTTGTTAAAGCCCCTAATTTAACTTTTTCATTTGCTAAAGAGAATGTCTTTGGATAATGCCTATGCTCTGACACTGGGTTACTCTTTCTTGCGCATTTTGGGTAACTCTTTCTCACTTGTCCTCCATTTTGGATCTCTCTCTCTCTCAAAAAAATTACACACACACACAAATTACCCATGCCTTGCTAGGTATCAGAAAATGATTGATTTTAAATCATTATAATTTGTGGAGAAAAATGATGCATTTCAATATTACTCAATGAGCTTGCTGATGTGACCTCCATCTTCTGGCTTTCTCCTTTTATATTTTGGATAGGAGTCACACTGTTTTGTTCAAATTTAATTTATATCAAAGGGTGGGGGATTTTTAGTGACGGTTTTGTGCAAAAACAGCTTGATTTGACCCCTTAGATATGCGTTTGATGCAATACTTGATTGAATGAATTGATGAGCAGATTTCAGCATTGATATGACAGTTGAATTGTTGCAACAAATATTTATTATAAGGCACTACTTGCTGATTGATGATTTCTTGCTCAAATTGACATCCATCTTGTCTAATTTTGATCTTGCTGATGAGAACTCCATCTTCTGGCATTCTCCTATATTTTGAATAGGAGTTATTCCCTTGTTCAAAGGAGGGGAAAAAAATGTTCACTTGTCAAAATGTAATCAATTTCTTCAAGTATTCTGGGTAATGTGTTTGCAGAATATATATCGTTATTGGGCAGGGGACTAATCTCCAAAACCCTAGGATTACAATAATAGACAGAACCATATATATATATATATATATATATATATATATATATATAAAATATATATAGGAAAAAGAACTCGTTAGGTAAGTTTCTAAATAATAATCTATTAAACAATAGACATGAGTTAACGGTTTTTTGCCGACATCATCAAATTTTTGCATTGAATAATTAGCATAAAATAATTTTTAAAATCCATAGTCATAATAAATAGTTTAAATGCCCTACCATAAATGATAACCCTTAATGAAGGCATCAAAAAACAAATGTTAGCGATTTACAACAGTTTTTATATGCACAAAACCCTTTCAGAATAAATAAAAAAAATAAAAAAATCTCCATAGACGCTTAACCAGGCGATGCGATGTCTTTCCACTTTAAATTTAGACACCCCAACCTTACCCTGATTTGACATCTGTGAATGTAATCGAGATATTGATACAAATTATTAACACCTTACGCCCCTTTCTCTTTGGACGGTTGCTCGAGCCGTTACCATAATAATTTTGATTTTAATAATGAATATGCTTATAAAACATGTAAATTTCAGAAATAAGTTATTCCAAAAAAAATTTTGCTTGAAGATGGAACAGAGCCTAGTAATTTAATTCAAATAATTATATTGAAGTTTTCGGCTCTTGTTTTGAAACATGAGAACTCTTATGTAGCGTGTTGGAATCATTTTTAAATGATATTTATATGGTGCTGTTAGTTTAGGATGATTTTTTTTTTTTTTGTCTGGATTTAAGAACTTGTATTTTTGAGCCAGAAAAGGTCTAATCCACTTGTTTTTAAAAAAAAAAAAAAAAGCATCTCTTTGATGTTGGGTTAGCTTTCTTTTGCCATGATAAGCTGAATGCAAAGCAACTTCTTTACAAGTAAACAAACCAAACTCTGCTTGATGCAGTTAATGAACTTAAAATTTTCTAATCTGGCACATAAGACACCAGATTTGCGCTGTGCCATTTATATGGGAACATTTTCTTGACTTAAATATTGGCTTGCAACTTAATATTAACCACTACACTACAAACAAATGGTAATACATGCTTATAACCATTTAAAACTTATAACAAATCCTGTCTGCCGAAAAGAACTTCTTGTTTTGAAATCATTTTGGCTTGTGTAACATACTGTTTGGTATATAAGACTCTCACTGCAAAAATAGTTTTGTCTGCAAAATTTAAATATTTAGTATGTTAATGTTTACTCCGATATTCTAAACTATCATGTACCTGATGGCTGTAACTTTTTCAATCATTTCCATGACTTCACCCATCTTCAAATATGGATGTGGTTTTTGCATTTAGTTCTGCTAGAGTTTTACATTCCCTTGCACAGATGTGGCAACATTGGGAATCTTTTTCAATAGTTGTTACATAAATACTGCATAACATGTAGTGACCAATTTCTCTGTGGGGTCTCCCCACCCTCTTATAGGCCTGCCCTATTTAGATGTAACCATTCATTACAAGTTATATCATACTGCAGCAACATTTCAGGGAAAATTAGCTTAGGTTAATTTACACTTATAAATATCTCTCTTGAGTTTTTTTCATATGCAACACAATTCCATTCCACCTCTTTTTATTGTTCCCATTCTACTTCCATTGTGCTAAAATATTGAACGTAATTCTGATGGGGATCTTATTTGCCGTCAAATATGGCACTTGGTTGGAGTTAATCAGTTTTTTAGCTTTTTAGAAAGTTTTTAAAAATTTCAAGAGGAACTGCCAAATGCAATGTTCTTGAAATTATACAGTTTAACATCACTTATTAGATGTGTGACAGTATTTTTCCTGTTTGAATATACTTTTGCCATTGTGGATAATATGAAGTTTTGGCATCCATACTTCAGCTATCTCATAAGACTGCTTGTAAATTTAATCAGGCTTTTATGATATATGAAGTCATCTGTTACATTCTATTACTGAAAATAGATTAATTTGTGGCTCACATTGATGGGAGTTAATCGAGTCAATCAATATATTAACTGCTGCAAAAAGAACCTTTCTTTGTTTGCCTGAAGACAGTAGAATGGATTGGCTGAAGTGTTAAAAAAAATCCATCCAAGCAACTATTTGACCTTCTTATATGGTAAATTATTAGCTACTGATGATGTACAAATTTTCATGAAGACATTTTAGACCCCTTCCACATGAGGGGTGATGAAAAATTCTTGGCCTTGACTCGCTTCCAAAAATTGGAAATTTAGTGAAAATTTTCTTATTTTGCCCCAAGCAAGGCAATAATGCCACTAGGATGCAGTGAATTACAGAGAGTGAAAGAATGAGAAGACTTTAGTGAGGAAAGGTAAATAAATGAACAGGATTCAGACAAAAGATGGCAACTGATGTTGCATTTAAATCTTTGAAGATTCTGGGTAGCAGGAAAGGAAAGTTGGGATTTCTACAGGCGAAAAAAAAAAAAAAAAGGAACTAACAGAAGAAAAGTAGACTAATTTTTAGTACTCACTTGTCTGGTGAGAGAATGTGTGCATGAAAAGAGAACCAGAATGAGACAATAGTATTTTTTCTGTATCATTTTTTATTTATTTATTTATTTATATATATATATATATATATATATATATATATATATATATATATATATATATATATATATAACTTGTTTGAAAATGTTAGTAGAAAATAAATGTAACTAAAAACAATAGGTATTATCCAAAATTAAATAAGTGATTAAATAAATAAAATTTTGTTTCTTATTTCAGCTTGAGTGAAAACCAATCTCTAGTAGTGATGCCCCCCAACAAAAACATGTGGCTGCTTGGTGCCATTGTCCTGTCCATGTCTCTCCACTTTGTTATCCTCTACGTCGACGTCATGTCGGTAAGTGATTTCATTTTAATTTTATAGTCCCTCTTCAGATGAACTTTTTTCTTTTTCTAGAAAACAAACAACTTGCAATGATGTACGATTTGCATTAGGGGTGCTTAAAACTTCCCAGCCCTCATTTTGAAGACTTTGAGATAGGTGTCTTTCTCGTATAAAAACAAGTAATCTTACTTTAATTAAAAAATGAATATTCGCAACTCAAAAACTTTTTTTTTTTTTTTTTAACATATACAAATCCCATTCATTTTAATTGCCAGATATAATTATTTTAAGTTAAAAAAAAACAAACTATAATCCCACTATAATGTATAACTGCACCAGCATTGCGATAACTATAGATATAATTTTTTTAATCCACATTATGCAACAGTTCATACTTAGCACCTGAAGATTGCATTGTGAATGAAACTTGGTCATGCTAGCAGTGAGGGATATATATATATATATATATATATATACACACACACACTGGTGGATTGGTGCAATGGTTCCTTAATAATTTCAAGCATTACTTTATATATCATCTCTCCAGAATTGCTCCTTGATTCTCCTTCTTGGCTTACAGCTAAAGTTAAGCAGCATCAAGCCTGGTTAGTACCTAGATGGGTGACTGCTTGGGAGAAACCAACTGTTGTAAGCTTGGATGTCCAGGTGGTGTAATAGTTAATGATTCAGAATTGTTAATTGGAGAGCTGACTTCCAATTCCATTGGGTTCATTATGTTCACTTATGTGTAAATATTCTTGGAAAGGTTTTGTTTGTTTGTTTGTTTTTTTTTTTTTCTCTTTTTTTTTTTTTTTTTTTTTTTTTTTCTTTTTTTTCTCTCTCTCTCTCCCCTTTTCTAAATATGGTTATTCTATTGAGCAGTATTCAATTTCATCATTCTGGTCACACTTTAATGGTCATTTTAACATAACTTGGAATTTTTTTTTTTTTTTTCTCTTCTTTTACAGCAAATCTTTCAGATCACGCATCTGAATGTTACAGAATGGATTGCAGTCCTGAAGATATCTACTCCAGTATTGTTAATGGATGAGACATTAAAATTTATTGCCCGCAAATTCTCTGACGGTAAAAATTATATTTACGAATGCTCTTTACTTGTGCTTGTGTGGACCCTTTACATTGGGTTCTTCTATTGGCATACATTTACATAGTTGTTCTGTTTTTGTTTTTGTTATTCCCCCCTCCCCTTCTTCCCTATTTTCTTTTTTGTTGTTATTGTTGTGGACAGTGGCAATTAAACCTACCAGTACCTACCATTGGACTTGCCCTTCATACTGCCACCACTACTACTACTACTACTTTATTAATCAACTCTGTTATTACTACTACTACTACTACTACTACATCCACCCTCTCCCCACTTTTAAATTGGCATTTCTGATTCTGAAATCTACACTTTAGACTTTTCTTTTTTCTGCCCCCCTTCTTAATTCCTACTTTGTCCTGCTTCATTTATTAATCGTTAAAATCTTCCCTTACAGTTAACTTTTTTTTTTTTCCTTAGTAGATAGGGTCTGTCCTTTTCTCTCTCTCTCTCTCCCTCCCTCCCTCCAAACAAAAAAACATCAGTCCCTTCTCATACTGATACAGTTTGGGGTGAGAATCACTTCTCTGACTAAAAAAAAAAAAAAAAAATCATTCTAACTTTCATACCTTCTTGAGTTAATTAAAATAGTAGTGCTTTTGCTAATCTTCTTGAAAACTCGTGGTAAGGGTGAACATGGAGCATTTGTAGCAAAAGAAAAGGACCCCCCCCTCCTCCCTTGCTACCTCCATGTAATTGACTGGCAATGAATAAATTAGAGCAAGTGACCATTTACTGCCATGACCTCTTCCTCAACAAACAACAAAACAAGCCAATAATGAAAGGTGGGGAAGGATCCAAAGGTTGAATTTTTTTTGTTGTTCTTTTAAGGGGATGCTGATTGTCTCAAAATGTCAAACGATTAGGACATGAAAATTTGTACTATTCTACAATCAGGATTCATTAACTTTTTATGTACATACCTACATATTTTTAATTTTTTTTAATTTTTTTTTTTTATTTTAAGGTTGGAGAAGAAAAACTTTAAACTTAATTTTGGCCTTTTTTAGTAGTGTACTTTAGACTGTGCTAACTGGAATTTTGACACTTTTTTTTTTTTTTTTTTTTTTTTTAAATTTCAGTTACTTTTAGCCATCTTTTTATTATGCTTTAAATAAAGGGAGCTTGGAATGTATAACAACTGGAAAAAAACAAAACACGGCTCCTATAATTTTAATTTTTATTGTTCAATGAGATTAACTAGTGGGTCAAAAATGGTACAATTATATCTTACAGGGGCTGCTTGCACTCTGGTGTAGGCAAAGTCTTTTTTTGATTTGTGGTGTAGGCTTGAGCTTATATTATAAGCAGCCATGCTTTTGACTGAAATAAATTGTAGCTTGGTGTGATTATATTGTAAAAAATTTACAGTATCATCTACTTTGAGTCACTTATTTTGGCTTCTTGTCACAGTTACTTCATTTGTCTATGAAATCTGTGATACCTCCAGATATTTTTAAGTTATTTGTTATTTTGATTCCATCCCTGTGATCTTGCTAGATTAAATATTTGTATTATTCAATCAGTAAGTTTATTTAATACCAACTTTATATCGACTTTTTTAATAGATTCTAAATTTTGGCCTGTTCTATAAAAGATTAAGCCTGTTCTGAATTTGTAGTCCCTGCTAAGACTATGTACATACCTTCTGACCATGGCCATTCTCTGCTTATGGTCAGAAGCCAAAAGCAAGTCTGTAACTACCTCTTGGATTTATCTGACTCTTCCAACTCGGATGTTTTTTAAAAAGTCAGACATGGAACTTACAGGATGTGGTTACTTATTTGCGTTTACCGATTGTGAATTTTTGTCAGTTATTGTCTTCGGAAACACCTGACATTTATTTCAACCTACAGGATGTACCTTAACCCTTGGTTAATTTCCAAACCCTCAGCTCTACCGCCCCTTTTCTCTGCTTATGGGCAGGCCCACACTAATAGCAGTTTGGTTGATTCAAGAGAAAAAGGCTGGGCTTGTTTGGGATGGGGTCAGGGGGGGTTGCATTTTTCATTCCTAATTAGTTTGAAATCTGGGCTGTGAGAATATTTTCATTTATCATTCTTTCTCCTTCCTCACCTTTCAACAAAAGCATATATATATATATATATATATATATATATATATATATATATATATATATAAGTACCCACAAAATTTTATCACTGTTAAAATATTAAAAAATGAAACAAAAATCCAAATTCAGATGGTTTGATCTTTTATATTTTTTTTTTCTTCTCTCTCTATCCTATTTTATGGCACTGAAACCTGGAGTGTTGGTTGGCACCAATGTTAAATTCACTACTTGTGTCCACCAAGCCAGTTCAGTTATGGTTCGAACATAGGCAAGGCCGTGTAGATTCTTTGCAAGCCTCGCAGCAATTTTCACAATGGCCAGTACATTTTGGTACTTGCAAAATTTGCCGTAATACATTCTGCTATCGGTCTGTTTATCTCCCCCCCGCCTTTCTAAAAAATCTGTCCAGTTCTCTTATCTGTATGGATTATAAAATTTAGATTCCCCTCTTCCCACAAAAAATCCCTTCTCCTCAGTACTTTAGTTAGCAGAAACGTTCCTGACTTCACTCCTTAAATAATTTCTAACCCTCATTTTTCTGGTTCACTTTAAAATTTAAAAACCTCTGTAGATGGTGCTTTTTTTTTTTTTTTTTTTTTTTTTAAACAGTAATCATGCTGCTGGTATCAGCCTAAATAACTTAAATTACTTTCTTCTCAGGGTAAGCACCAAGGTTCATTATAACTAGATTCAACAACTTCTGGCCAGCTCTTTAAGCAAGCTTCATATTGTGAATATATACTTTAAAATAATTTTTTTTTTTTTTTTTTTTTTTTTTTCCTGAACTTTTAGAAAGTGGGACAACTTTTTTATTTTTAATAAGAGTAAAGAAATGAAGAGGAAGAAAATAGTGTTTAATTTAAGGACATTATGCTTTTTTTTTTTTTTTTTTTTACTTTTTCTCTTTCCATAGCCTCAAAAGAACTGCTAATATTGTTGGCAGCTTTTTTTCAAAAAGCACGTTCACAATATGAGGCAGAGTTATCTTAAATACTAGCTTTTTGAAAGTTTCAAGGCTAGAAGTCTATTGAAAGCTTTTTGCATGACTGTTTTAAAAACAGTCTCTCGCCACTCTTTACACAATATTTCCTGTAATCATGGACCTTTTTAAATAGTTACCTCCAACTGATGATATGGAAGAAAAATAAATATTTTCAGAATATTATAAAATAGTCATTTATTACATATATATTCTAAATTAAAAATGAAACCTTATTATGGCAAAGTACAATTCTTTGACCTTCAGACCATTTTCCAGCAGATAGACAAAGAAAATGGATGCCATTAATTTGTCTGATACAAAAATTATTTCTGGAACAAAACAATTTTAATCCATTCCATTTAAGGTAAATGTAAGCTTCAAAACAAGATGTATTAGAATTATTGAATTTAAAAGTGAAGCTAAAATGGCATTTACTTTATTGAAATCTATAAGATTCCCTGTGAAACCTGGTAATGAAGCTGCAGATTTAATATCTAGTAGGTTTCCTGGGAGTCAAGTTGTTTGTCCCACACTCAACCAGTTTGAATTCAGTTATAATTCTTCCAAATTAATTACCATCCAGTTAATCTTGCTCATACCTTGGGAGAATTTATGGATTCTTGTCTTTTCCCAGGGCATTAGTACATGACGAATTGGAATTTGATCTCTATTCACAGGTTCCATTTTGTTATTCAGACACTCAAACCTTCTTTATTTCTTGCTTAGATAGATCTTGGACTCTGACAAAATGGTACTTGTCCGATAAATACTGTTAGGTTCCTTTCACTAACCCACCCACCCCCCACCCCTCATAATTCTCCCTTGTCCAAATTTAAACTATTTTATAGTCGTATATTAGAAATTCAAATATAGGCTGTATGACATTTTATTTATGGATTCAATTCCTCTTTTATAAAAGTTCCATATTCCTGTTCAGGGTCAGCACTTGGGGACAGGTGAAAGTATAAAGGTAATTGGTGATAAAACCAAATTAAGACTTTGAATATAATTAGATACAAATGTTAAAAATAAATAAGTGAAAGTTTTAAACCGATTTTGAAAGGTTTTTAGAAACAGTCATTTTTCTAAATCGCAACCTAGAAACTAAGTAATAAAAATTAAAAAAAAAAAATTAGCATTGCCAAATTTGAATTTAAAATTAATTGAATGTCTATTAAAATTACAAGGTAAATAATAAAAAAAAAAAAAAAAAAAATCTTGCAACAAAAAGAAAAAATTCTTAACCAGAAAATATCTAAATATTTAGAAAAAAAAAAAAAATATGGGGGAGGGAATTTTTTTTCCTTCTAAAGTTGTATCTGTTTATTCATGTCAATGTCTTTAATGTTAAACAAATTTGGTAGAAATTTAAAATACTTTTCAAAATTTTCATAAAGCTATTTTCCAGAAGTCTCTGAATTATGCAATTGGTGGTTGATTGGTATTTAGGTGTTTATAATAATGGGTCTCTTCCTCCTCCCCACTCTTAATTTGGGGGACTTTTTAATGATCTTCACTTAGACTAGGGTGTATTAGTCTTTGAAAGATTTTTTTTTTTCTTTTTTTTTTTTTTAGAGACTTTTCAAATGTTGCAGTTGCTTTAAAACTTGTTCATTCTACTTGACCCTCCTAGTTATCCCACTACCTTCTGTTGTCATCCATTACTTCAGTGAGCCTTTGCTAGATTACTTGGCATAGTTGTGCTGTGGGCAGAGTTTGGGATGTTGTGGAGGACCATGATTGCCTAAAGAAAATACCTACAAGCATCTATTTAGTACAGTCTTGCTTGCACAGCAAATATTGGCTCACCTGTCTAGAAAGGTACTGGACTGTCGACCAGCCATGTTGGTATGACTGATTGATTTGGGTTTAAAAAGCTGCACAATAAACTTTGATCACATTGTTTACAATCAATACTGCTTAAT